CGTTTCCCCTTTCTTCCTTTTTTTTTTTTTTTTTTTGTAAGCAAGTGGTGTGCCGTGGGATTTTTTTACATATCAAAACTGTGCCGTGGCAGAAAAAAGGTTGGGAAACACTATTAAAACACTTTTAAAAAGTTTGCAAGGTGGCTAAATGATGCCTGTGTTAATTTCTTTTGTCAAGTACTGTACATTTTTTACTTTACATTTAAGTACAGTACAGTTTTTTTTTTTACTTTTTAAGTACAGTGCAGTTTTTATTTAACTTATAGGTACAGTACGTTTTAATTTAATCATTTAAGTTTTTTATTTACCTGTATGTAAGCACAGTGCAGTGTTAATGTTCAAACTGTATTTACAATGTTTAAAGTGGCAGACAATAATAAATATTCTTATTAGGAATAAAACTGCCTCATTTTTGAACTGTGCATAGCTGTATCTGAATAATTAGGCCTACTACGCTGCTGTATTTTAATGTTGGTCATTATGGTGGTACTTGGAGAGCCAAATATTTTCTGAGGTGGTATTTGGTGTAAAAAGTTTGAGAATCACTGCTCTACATAATACAGTGAGCTTTTAATACAGTAATACAACAAGCTTTCAATGAAGCAACTCAACGTTCCTTCGTCACTAGCTCTAAAGTGATGTTTTCGAATTAGTAACAGATCTTGAGCTCAGCTGTTAAACTGTCAAACTGAGATTTGAATCTGTGGCAGAAGGAAGTAGTTTGCACAAAAGAGGGGTTTAAAGAGACTCTGTTGTTGTTTCTTATGTATTTACACACTCGTGCCGTCGAACTGTTGTATAACGCAATATCACACTCGTAGCCGTGAGATACGGCTGGATATCGGCATGCTGTGATTAGCCGTGCTGATAAACAGCCATATCGCACAGTTACTCATGTGATATTGCTCATATGCGTATCTCAAACACACACACACACACACACACACACACACACACACACACACACATATATATATAATAGTAATAGATCATTTTTCTGACTTATCTCACAATTCTGAGTTTATATCTCACAATTCTGACTTTTTTAGAACTGTGAAATATCAAATGTCAAGAATTGTGAGATAAACTAAAAAAAGTCAAAATTGTGAGATATAAACAATTGTGAGATAAGTCAGAAAAATTATCTATTATTATTTTTGTAAACTCAGAATTCCGAGAGAAAAAAAGGTCAGAATTATGAGATATAATCTCAGAGAAAAAAAACTTGAGATATAAACTCATAATCGCAAGAAAAAAGTCCCAATTACATTTATTTATTTATTTTATTTAATCCCATGGCGGAAAATGGTTTCCATATAAAATAACCATATAATTTTTTTGTTTCTTAGTGTGAAGGACATTTTAAAAATCTAAAGAACCTTTTTCCACAATAAAGAACCTTTTGTTGAATGGAAAGATTTCATTTAAAGATTCTTCATGGAACCATCAATGCCAGTGAAAAACCTTAATTTTTAAGAGTACATGATACTCACTGTATTTAGCAGCAGCCTTCATTTTCTGCCATACGCTGAATTTCAGATTTCCCAGGTGCTTTGCCACATCAATCAGCACTTTTGGGAGCTTCTCTGGACAGGGACTGTTGCACTGAGTGCTGGAAGAACATCCATCAGTTAGCTCGATTTTGGGTCACAATCAAAACAGATTCAAACAAGCGAAATCGCACTTACCTTTCAGGTGGGCCTTTGTACTTCTTCAGATAGATTTACATGGAAATGACAAAGAGACATTGTGATTAAAAACAAATCTCATAATCAAATCTAAATCATCTAAAATGTCAAATAAAAGTTGTTAAGAAGCATACTTATTTTCAAAATGATAATAATATTTAGAAATGTTTTTGAGCAGCAAATGAGCATTAGAATTAGCATTAGAATGATCTCTAAAGGATCATGTGACACTGGAGACTGGAGTAATGTTGCTGAAAATTCAGCTTTGATCACAAGAATAAATTACATTTGAAAATATATTCAAAAAGAAAACAGTTGTTTTAAATTGTAATAATATTTCATAATAATTCAGTTTTTATTGTACTTTTGATCAAATAACTATTAATCAAATAAATATAAAAAAAAAAAAAAAGTTTAAATATTCAAACATAACATTTATATAATAAAAAAATATTTAAAATGATTTTGGATCCTGGTTAGAAAGTATGATAAATAATTGGCTGTACCAGCAGAAATGAGATGTTGCTGGACTCTATCTCTTCCTCAGTGATCCTCACTCTTTCTACCAGAGATGAGAGTTCACTGTTAATTCTCATCATCTGCTCCTCTGACAGCTTCCTCTTCTTCTCCTCTTCCTCCCTCAGAGCAGTTATCCTGGCCGCCTCTTCATCACGCAAAAACTGATGAAGCTGCTCAAACTGCTTCTTAATATGTGCCTCTGTTTGCTCAGCTTGATTCTGTAACACAGTACAAAGATAAAAGTTATGCAATTGTTACTCAATTCTGTAAAATATGAAAGTTTTTTCAGCTGTTGATTTTACCGTGATGTGTTTCACTCGCTGATTACAGATGAATTTTTCTGATTTTAAGACTTTGTGCTTCTCTCGCAAAGACTTCAGGCTTGTTTTGAGCACCTCCTGAAAACAAAGTTGAAAAGGTAAAAAATGGGTTAGAGTAATGTTATTTGATTTATCTCAAAATATATTTTTCTTCTGCATTATGCATATTTGCATCCAGGCTCTTTGCTGTGCTATTCCAGAACGAATACAGAACAAAAGTTCTGATCATAGCCATCACAAAACTATCACAAAACACCTGATTTCTGAGACTCACAGACGGCAATCCTTTAGTTAAGATTTTTGTTTTATAATCTCTGATTTAGCTTCTTAATCTTATCTCTAATTGTATCTAGTCATTGGGTTTTTAAATGGCCAGTTCCTTAAGTCCTTACTCCAATGTCAGACTGTCTAAATATTTATATTGTTATATATACCTACACTCAGGGCTGGATTGGTAATCGGGCATACCGGGCATTTTCCCGGTGGGCCGACGCACTTAAGGGGCCGACA